ATGCTGATTTTCATATAATGGCCTAGTGTTTGGAACCTAATCATGTTGATAAGTGAGGAGTGGATGTACTTAAGTTCCAGGGAAAATTAAGACGGCATTTTCTTCAAAATCAGAATGCACCAACATTTATAAACTCATGTTATACTATAAGTAGAGGCCAGTGAATCTGAGCAATAATTTAAATGGTAAGCAATTTGGTGTGTCCGTTTTTCTAGGGATATGACTCTTTCATCAGCTTGTCAAAAGAAGTATGTACAGCATAGTGATTAACAGCATAAATGCTGAAACCAGTCTTCCTAGGTTTGAGTCCCAATTGTACCATCCATTAAAAGTGTGGCCTTGGACAAGCTGTTTAACTTCCCTTTACCTTAGTTTTCTCATCAGTAAAACAAGGATAATAGCACCTAGCTTATGGAGTTCCTTCTCCATAGCACTCATCTTTGCTTTATAATGATATATTTGATTATCAGCTCTCTTCCTCACTAGGCTGCAGGCCCTCGGTGGGTCCGTTTTTCTCATCATTTTAGCCCCAGTGCCTGGTAATAGTGTCAATAAATATTTGTTAAATAAATAACCCACCAAACAATTGATAAAAACTCCATTACTGTCTAATCAATTCTGACTCATAGTGACCCTATAGGACAGAGTAGAACTGCTCCATAGGGTTTCCAAGGAGCAGCTGGTGGATTCGAAATGTTAGCTGCCTGAGCTCTTAGCCACTTCACCAGCAGGGCTCCAAAATTCACAGGATTTTAAAAATTTGATCTTTAAACACCAGTATTCCAAGGACTTTTATCTTTTTATGACTTTTAATGACAATCCAAAAGAATTCCTAGAATTTAACTTGATTATCTTTTTGGACCTCAACTTCCAGGCAGGCCAGAAAACAATACTAGCTAGTTAATACTTTTTTTAGTCACCACTATTTTACAATTTGCCCTTTAAAAACAAACAAAAGGAAAATACTATCTTAGTGTAGATTGCTGAATGTTTTAAGCATTGAACATCAGCCGATTTCTTTTGGTAGTTAAGAGATAAGAATTCGTTCTCAACTAACTCTTTTCAATTTAAAAACAATTTCCGATTTACCTCCATGTTTATTACATCAATTTCCAGGTTTCAAAGATAAGACTCTAAAAACTGTCAGATCATTTCCCCCTCCTGATATCTCAGTTTTAAAAGAGTTCTCAAATTCAGTTCAGTTCACCATCTTAAGCTGAATAAGTACCATGTTTTTGTCTGTTAAAAATATTTGACTGTATTCTTAGGCAAAATAAAAAAAACAAAAACAAATCCACAAAACCAAACTGTCTTAGTTATCTAGTGCTGCTATAACAAAAATGCCACAAGTGGATGGCTTTAACAAAGACATTTATTTTCTCACAGTAAAGCAGGCTAGAAGTTCAAACTCAGGGCGTAAGCTCCAAAGGAAGGTTTTCTCTGTCAGCTCTGGAGGAAGGTCCTTGTCATCAATCTTCCCCTGGACTAGGAGCTTTTCTGCGCAGGAACCCCCGGTCCAAAGGACGGGCTGTGCTGCTGGCACTGCTTTCTTGGTGGTATGAGGTCCCCCTGTCTCTCTGCTCACTTCTCTCAGCTCAAGACACAATCCAATCCTGTAGATTGAGTCCTGCCTCATCAACACAGCTGCCACCTATCCCCTCTCATTAACATCATAGAGGCAGGATTTAAAACACATAGGAAAATCATACCAGATGACAAAATGGTGAACAATCACACAATACAGGGAAACGTGGCCCAACCTAATTGATACACACATTTTTTGGGGACACAATTCAATCCATGACACCAAACTAAAACAAAAAAGCCAAACCCTCCGCACCTTGTTTGGATTTTCTGAAGAAGTTTTTTTAAATAAATCCTTGCAATTAAACCCCCAAATGCCCACTTCTCTATCTTCCTGAATACTGGTATTTTCAGTGTTTGGGAATAAATTTTTGCTTACTCAACCCCTCAGTTACTATGTTGGGCTCTAGTATTGGGCCATCTGGGTTTGTACTCCACAGCCCCCAGGTTGTTTGAGACCTTGGGCACATTCTTCTTGCCGATGTCTTTAATCTTCAGTTTCTATACCTCTAAAATAGGGACGGAAACCCTGGTGGCATAGTGGTTAATAGCTATGGCTGCTAACCAAAAGGTCGGCAGTTTGAATCCACCAGGCACTTCCTGAAAACCGTATGGGGCAGTTCTACTCTGTCCTATAGGGCCACTAACAGTCAGAATTGAATCGATGGCAATGGCTTTGTTTGTTTGTCTTTTAAATAGGGACAAATAATGAACCTTAGCTCATACAGTGACAATTAAATAAGAGCTTAAGTAAATTAAATAAGAGTTTAAGTAAAAGCTTAAAAACTCAATACAGGATAGGTAGTATTATTATCCAATTAGATAAAACCTTTTTCTGCATTTTATTTTAGTCAAGTTACATCTAAACTCAACAAGCTGGCATAATTAGCTGGCTAAAAGATTAACTATCCTTTGATAATTCACAGTGCTTTTGTAGTCAGTGGAGCAGGTGGCACAAAATGAACCAACTGATACTCCCCAGGGGTCAGGCCTTACAGAGAGATGGTAATTCTCAGTGCAGTGGGGAAAAGGCGTGAGTGAGGCATCCTCAGCGCTATTGGTTACAATAATAACTGCAGATTTCTATTACATTACCTAGTGCCACGGCCTTATATTACAGACTCTAGTAAATTCAGCTCATTTAGCACAATCCATCTGGGTAACAATAATGGTTGTTCACCGATGTGAGTTTGGGGGGCGCTCTAAATCTTGAGATTATGAAAGGATTTGAGGAGGTAGTAGGGCTCACAGTTGGCAAAGTCAGGGCTCTTCTGGGGAAAGCCAATGGCCACCCTGACAGACCCCAGAGGTGGCAATACCTTGTTCTAGATCTGGTCCTCAGTTTGTGTTCTCAAGACCCTGACTAACAGGACACAAAGAGTGGCTTAATGGGTTTGACACACATCAACAAAGCCACAGAACAATGTAAACTGGAATATCAATTTACTGGTGTACAGTGAGTTAGACATTTAGGTTCACTTTTTTCTATGAAGACAAATCCACTAAGAAAGAAGCCCACTAAGAAAGGACTGTTTGGAGTCTGAAATCTAAATAATGAGTTTAAGTTAACAAGCTTACTGAAGCAGGGAGGGATGACAGGTCACCAAAATAAGACAGGATGATCTCTTCCACAGGGATACAGGTCCCACCCCATCTACAGGTCAAGTATCCTTGGAACTTTTCTTTAAATTGCTTGAGATTTTAGCATTAGGAATGCACTGCCCCTCATGCACTATTCCTTTAGTCTTGTTACCCTTTTGTGACTGCAAGAAAATACTGGATTTGGCCAATGTTACCTAAGAAAGTAAACGTCTAATGACTTGCTAAAAACAAAGACTGACACAATTCCTGGAATGTCTGCTGTGAGAATGTAAGCAGGGGGATGGGAGATAACTAGGTACCTGAAAGATCATTTTGCAAGAAACACATGAATAAACTTTGCAGGATAGTTGATAATTCGAACACTAGCCCTTAATATCTTAAGGTCTTCAGCTGTGCAGGGACATGGCATCCCTGCCAAGCTCTTCTTTGTTCCGTTCTCACCTCAACCACTCCCCATCCACCCACCCCCAACCTGGTTCCAAGTACAGCTATCTTTGTAAGGATGGCATACACCTCATGATTTTAATTTTTTAGATTTTTAAAATTGAGGTATAATTACATATAGCACAATGAGGACAGCAGGCAAATTTGTAGAGCCCCCTCCTCCACTTTTTAACTTAGTAAACTGCACTCTTTGATCTGTTTTTTTTTTTTTAGTCTTACCTGCTTTTCTTCCCATCTACCATGCTCAGCCTTACAGAGTTGTCCTTTATTTTCAAATTCTCTAAAATGCTATGTTCTATCCACGGAGTTTCTCCTGACTGGAATGGCTTTACCTGGCCCACACTTATTCTTCTTTCAAGACCCAACTAATAAGTCATTTTTTTTGTTTTGAAGTGTTCCCCAAATATTATTTATCTCCTCTGAGCATCCGCGGTTCTTCAGGCACACTGTATAGTGGTTCTTTTTTCCTGGTCAATTATTAGACTGACTAGGTTGAGAGTTGCCCCTCCAAGGAGCTGGGAGTGTGTTGTAGCTTGTCTATCTTTGCATTCCAAGTGTGACTGACACATAAGGTGCTCAATAAATGTTTCTGGCAATAAGTAACAATTAACATCCATGCATGTAGTTCAGAGATTTCACAGCAGTTCATTTGGTCTCACTTAATCCAAAACCTCCCAAAAAAACCTATTGTGGTGGAATCAATTCCAACTCAAAGTGACCCCTGCCCCACACGGTTTCCAAAGCTGAAATCTTTACAGAAGCAGACTGCCACATCTTTCTCCCCCAGAACGGCTAGTGGGTTCCAACTGTCTACTGAGCGATTTAACCCTGCGCCACCAGGGCTCCTCTAATCCCTACTACTCAGAGCGACCCCATAGGGCAAAGCAGAACTGCCTCCTACGATTTCCAAGGCCGGTACGAATCGAAATCGACTCCACTGCAACGGGTGTTTTTGATTTAATCTTTACAGAAGCCAACTGCCTATTCCCTACTAAAGCCAAACCAAAACCAAACCCCTTGCTGTGCGGTCGATTCTGACCCACAGCGACTCCACAGGACAGAGCAGAACTACTCCACAGGGTTTCCAAGGAGTGGCTGGTGGATTCGAACTGCCAACCTTTTGGTTAGCAGCCGTATCACTTAAAACACTGCGCCACCAGGGCTCCATAATTCCTACTACAACCATACAAAACAGTAATATTATCACTTTATCATTTCCTGTTTTATAGAGTGTAAAGTGGAAACGAAGAGGTTAAGGATCTTGCCCAGGGCTAGTCAACAATAAAACGGAACTACTGTCTGGTCTTCTAACTCCAAGTTCCTGTCTCTTGACACCACACAATTCGTTGAAGCCAGTACAAGCATCTTACCATGATTTTAACTTAAAAGCCGACTCCAGTGGCCCCACTTCCGGATAATCTCGCAGAGACGCGCATAGCCTGGGCGGGGACCTGGAACCCCGGACTCGGTCTCCCAGAGAGCCCTGGGGCTAAACCACAGGTGATTGGTTGAAATCAACAGCCAATAAAGCTGAGACAACCTCGCAAGGACCAATCACAGGTCATCAGAGGCGGGCCCTCTTCTGTCGAGGCTAGATTGAGCTCAGAAACGAATAGCATTCTAAGCTGTCCCAAACCTCTAGGGACCGAGGACCGAGACGGGGCGCTCCAGAGACTACATCTTCCTACTCTTCGGGTCCACTCCTGGGCTCTCCCAGTGACTCTGGCTGTGGCCGCGCGCGCCTGCCAGCCGGCCGACGCCGAGGACAGGCCGGTGACTGGGAGCACGTGGGCAGCCAGCTCGCGTGGCGGAGCGCGCGCCTGTCACCCCGCGCTGAGCGCCCCAGCCCCGCAGGAGGCGGCCACGCGGTGTCTTGGTACCGGTGAGGCAAACGGCGGGTGGGCTCTCTGGCAGCGGAGGCCTCTCCGTGCTACTCGCGTCCCCGCGTCTCCGGGAGGCGGCCAAAAGGCCCGACTCTTTGCAGGCTCGCCCGAGGCTGGCCCGCCTCCCTCTTGGCCGTCACCTGTGGAGGTCGCGTCTTCCCTGCTGCGCCGCCAGCCCGAGGAGGAGATTCGGCATGTCCCCGGCGCTGCAGGACTGGCAGCCACCTGGTAACGCTGCGACCGCGGCACCGCGGTTCAGTTGCTTATGCATTGATTCCTGCGCGACGTTGTAATCTCTTGGGAGATTCTCCTCAAGACCATGAGACGCCTGTTCAGGTGTTCCTGAGGGCGGCGGCTTTGTGGGGGCACCTTTAGAGTTTTGCGGAGAAGCCCTGAGACCCCACTGTTTTGTTCCACTCCTTCCTGACCTATACTCCCTCCTCCCCAGGCAAACAGACCAGCTAAACTCGCAAAGTACTTCCCTTCACCGAACGCCCGAAAATACACACATTACATCAGAGTAACTCCAGTTCTGCCGTTAGACGTACTTTACGTTGCGTATTCCTGGGCCCTGTGGACTTTTTGCATGTTTTAACGTTCTTAGTTAATAAATATTTATTGAGCCCCCGTCGTGCTCAGCCAAAGAACGTTCCAGAACCGAGAGACAGATGAATTCAGAGAACTGTGTAAACCTGGATCCCAGGTGGCGCAGTGGTTAAGAACTCAGCTGCTAACTAGAAGTTTGGCAGTTTAAATGCACCAGCCGCTCCTTGGAAACCCTGTGGGGCAGTTCTACTCACTCTGAGTCAGCAACGGGGTTGGTTTTTTGTTGTGTAAACCTACATTGAACGTTTATTTTCCACGTCTGGGGTTAGTTCCTGCAATCTCCAGTGTGCATAGATTCGCCGAGGAATTTGTTAAAATAGCTGATGAACAGGCCCCACTTGAGTAAAACACTGAGTCAGGATGAGGAATGGTAGTCTTATCAAGTGATTCTAATGTTGATGGCTATGAAATCAGCCTTGAGAAAAACCTCGTTTAGCACAAGAACTGAATATAAGTTCGTGCTGCTTTATAATGAGCTCTGGGATTCCAGTGCCATCCCTGATTATAATTTGTGGGCAAATAGACACGTAAAAAATGTGAAGTGTGAGGTAGGGGATGTAGCAAAGACAGAATCAGTAATAGAACAGAACAGTAACTATCTTATGACAGAAAATGAGGGTGTTCTGCTCCAGGAGGAGGGTGAACATGAAATTCATTAAGCAACTCTGAGAAAAGCCATCAGAGGTTAACTGGTTACTGTTGTTTTTAGGATTCTGATAAATGGGACTGGGAGAATTATTCTTGGAACCAGTGGAACTGTGATTGAGAAACATTTTATCACTGTTGTTATCAGATAAGACCTATCTCTGTTATAGGGGTATCGTATTGTTATATTTGACCATCTCTTACTCATGACTTCTTGCCTCATCCTCCCAATTTAATTTCTTCTTCATCTGAAAGTAGGCATTGTTATAAGCAGCAAAATGCCTCTGAAGACTTAGAAGCTTTAAATAGTGAGTAATCTTCTTACAGAAAGTGAGAGGAAACCTCTTAAATGTTTGGATCTAGCCCAGTTGCCTCACTCCCACAGTTGAGCACCAAGTCTAGGGTCCCTTTAAGGCACTCTGAGCTGGGCCCTTGGGCCTAGAAAAGACTTTAGATTTACCCCTGCTTCTCTGTGTGTGGGCAACCCATGTGTTGGAATTAGAATCATGTTTTAACTTCCTAAATGTATTTCAAAAATGAAATAATGCACAAGCAAAGATATGCCTATATAGTAAGTTGGTGCAAACTAGAAGTTAGAGATCCAAAAACAAATGTGCAAAGTATCTTGCAAAGGATTTTTAGGGCAGTAGTACATGACATCGCCATGAGTCAGAATCCACTCGATGGGAACTGGTACTGGTAAGATGGTCCTAAACGTAGTGAAGGCACAGCCGTGCTGAGAAAGCATTGGGATCATTCAATTACAACGTAGAAGATAAAGATTTCTTTTCCTTGCTGTATGTGTTTGCATGTTGTTGTTGTTAGGTGCCGTTGAGTCAGTTCCGACTTATAGTGACCCATGTACAACAGAACGAAACAGTGCCCAGTTCTACACCATCCTCACAATCATTAAGCTTGAGCTCATTGTTGGCAGCCATTTTGTCAATCCATCTTGTTGAGGGTCTTCCTCTTTTTTGATGACCCTTTACTTTACCAAGCATGATATCCTTCTCCACGGAATGGTCGCTCCTGATAACATGTCCAAAGTATGTGAGACGAAGTCTTGCCATCCTGTCTTCTAAGGAGCATTCTGGCTGTACTTTTTCTAAGACAGATTTGTTCATTCTTCTGGCAGTCCATGGTATATTCAGTATTCTTCACCAACACTGTAATTCAAAGGCATCCATTCCCATGTAGTGCAGTGGAAATTGGAGCCCCAAGTAAATCAGACCTCTGTGGGGTCATTATTTCTTCAGAGGAGATGTCTTCCCGAAACTGTAATTTATTATTTTAATCCACATATTTGGGGCTTATCAGCTTATGCCTTCATCTTATCATTCTTTAGATAGTTCTTCAAGGTGGTGATATCTGACTTACTTACCTTAACATCTAATTGTGTTTTAACCAGTTAATCCCATGTTTGTTTGTTCTTTGGGACACTCACAGTAAATCAAAATACCAACAGCTAGAAAATAAATGTTAATGACAGAAAGAAACATGACTCCTAATGAACAAACTACATTGGCTAGATCCACTCAAACTGGAAAAGACTGATTTTGGGGCTCACTAGCTAATAGTATTCCTTGGTATTCTCCTCTGGACTGTAGTTTTTTATATGTATGTTAAACATAAAAATATTTCTGAGACCGTGTTATAACTAGGCAGTTAAATGAGGAAACTGCAAAACTGCATTGCTGTATTTACTGTGAAAGATGTTAGGCAGAACCTGCTCTATTCAGAACCTGACTAGTTAGGAGTAAAATGTACAGAATGTTCTAGACCTAATGAACTCAACACAGACAAATAGGAGAGATTATTTTTTTGTCGTTCTTCATGGAAGAGCAACATTTCAATGATTGCAAACTCTGCCAAGTGAAAGGAGAATTGTCAAAGTAACTTAATCTTTCTTTTCTCTAAATTTTATTTAGTTTATTATTGTTGAGAATATACACAGCAAAACATACACCAATTCAAGTTTCTACGTTTACAATTTACTGATGTTGATTACATTTGAGTTGTGCAACCATTCTCACCCTCCTTTTCTGAGTTGTTTCTCCTTCATTAACATAAACTCACCACCTTCTAAGGTTCCTATCTAATCTTTCGAGTTGCTCTTGTCAATTTGATCCCATATCAAAACCAAACCCATTGCCATTGAGTTCCTTCCAACTCATAGGGACCTTATAGGACAGAGTAGAACTGCCCCATAGAGTTTCCAAGGAGCAGCTGGTAGATTCAAACTGCTGACCTTTTGGTTAGCAGCCAAGGTCTTAACCACTGAGCCACCAGGGCTCCTTTGATCCCATATAGATAATTCTTAAAAGAGCATAATGCTCAAGGCAGATCTTTTTTTCTAGTTAAGCTAAACTGTTGTTTGATTTTAATAAGACTTCAAAGGATATTTTTCATTTAATGTTTAAAGATTGTCTCAGGGCAATAGTTTCCAGGGTTCAGCCACCCTCCATGGCTCCGGAAAGTCTAGAGTCTATGAGAATTTGAAATTCTGTTCTGCATTTTCCCTGTTTTGATCAAAGATTCTTCTATAGAATCTTTGATCAAAATGTTCAGTAATGGTAGCCAGGCACCATCCAGTTCTTCTGTAATAATAAATCATCACAACATGATTTATTACTTTTGCCTATGGTGACCTTCATTTAATAGAAATCCTTAGTTTTTACGTAATCAAATTCACCTTTTTCTTTTTTAAACATTATAGGTTTGGCTTTTTGAGTCTTACTAAGTCCTTCCTCATTCTAAGTTATAAAGATAGTTCTATATTTTACTTCGATTTTTTTTTTTAATAATAAGGCTTTATAGTATATCTTAATATCTGATGGGACAAATAGCCTCCTTGTTCTACTTTTTTCAAAGTTAATTTAGCTGTTTCTGATTTAATCTTGCACATAAATTATAGGTTTGTTAAGCTTCTAAAAAAAATCAGATGTTTGGAGTTTTAAAAAACCTTTGATCATTTGCTTATATGGTGACTCAGCAAACAACCTAGAATTTGTGTGTGTGTGTGTATGGGTGTGTATGTGTGTACTGAGGGGTTTGTTTTATGGGAAATGGTGAACTGTCTTAAAGATTGGAAACAAAAGTTGAAATTTCCAGATTGAAAAGTGAATATGGTAGGGCCTCCATGGAAAAATGTTTTATTTGCATATGAAACTAGGAGGAGGGGTGGAGGCACAGTGACATTGTCAGATTTGCACCGAGTTTGGGAATGCCAAGCAATAGGAGTAAATTACCTTGAGGAAAAGCACATGAGGAAAACTGGGAATCTGTACAGAGGTAGCATACTGGAAGAGGTGGACCGTGACAGGAGAAGGTATGCATTTCTTTGTTCATTTCTCCTTTCTCCCTCCTGCCCTTTCAACGTTTGTGCACTTGCTCCTTGGAGGAGAGGGAAGGATAAAGATATATGTAAATAATATGTTACTGAAAACCCTTTTGCTCCAAAGGACATATTTCATTGTCTATGGAAAAGATTGCATTGTTTTCTACATGGTTTAATACTTTTCTTATTAAATTCTACATGCATGACCTACTCCCCACTCCACCTGCTAGCCTTGTAGTTCAGTTACCTCCCTAAGCTCCCCTGATCTCATTTCAGGTTGGATTGCAGCTGCACCCTTTTAAGAAGAAAGGAATTCAGTTGGGCATATAGGTTAAAATTTTTAGTCCTCTCTCTCCACATTCCCCATTTGAAACCAATTCCATTGTTTTCTTTCTTTTTTTTATTTTATTT